TGGTCTGAAAAGAAAATTCTGCTTAGCTCTACGGGACCAATTTCTAGAGAAAGGAACTACTCTGCTGTTGGTATGCACGGGACAATCGCTACCCTGTGATGACACGCCTCAACTCTGGCTGTGGTCTTCTTGATGTGGCCTTGCTATCTCACCACAGATTCTGCCACAGATTTCGTGGGAGGTGGTAAATGTTGTGGCTGAGCGCCTGCGCCAGTGAGGAGGCTGCAGAACAGTTAGCGCTCTTGGAGTGGGTAATTGTCTTGGTTACTTTTCTCTCGCTGCTCAGACAAAACACCCAACGCCCAAAATGAAGGAAGGAAAGGTTTATTTAGCTCACAGTTTGTGGAGGTTTCAGTCCATACTTGGCTGGCTCGGAGGCAGAAGATAACAAAGCAACAAGAGCAAAGGAGGGAATGGCAGCCGAACAGCAAAGCAGCCAGAGCAAAAGGGAGGAATGGCGGCAAGCGCTTCTTTCCCTCCCTTACTTTGTAAACAGGCTACCCCCACCTAAGGAGCATGTAGCTCTCACATAATCTCCATGCCCTCCTCTTCCACAGGCTCAGGATGTATACAAAGTAAGCACCCTGGCTTCCTGCTGAGTCACTTAGCCAGACCTCTAGACTCCCCAAGTTGACACAATGTTTCAACCATAACAGTAATGAATATTGAGTTCCCCCAAAAACAAACCAACTGGAAGTCGACAATGCATTCAGAATTTGCCACTTGTTTAGAGAAAGGATGAGGACCTGCCACACCCTGGGAGACTTGACCAGACGGATTGTATCACATTCCTCCACAGACAGGTGCTTTGTGTAGAGCAACTGTGCTATGGACATTTTCCTCAGGACCGTTTTCTGGGTGTTGTTTTGCTCGTGTCTGTACTATGAACATTACATGTCTTCCAAACAATGAGGCCTCCCCTTGACTGTCACTGAATGTTCAGTCAGACGAAGCTCTTCTTGCTCACCTGGTGCAAAGCTGATAGAAAGTAGAGTGTTTCAGGTTAAGAGACACCAATATGCAGGTGATTTTTAGTGAGGATTAAACACAGGGTCTTTCCCTTAAGCTGCAGCTCCAGATGCCTTTTTGAGTTTTTTATTTGGAGATAAGGTCTCACTAAGTCAGAATCCTCCTGCCTCAGCCTCCTAGAGTGCTGGAATTATAGGAATGCACTACCATGCCTGCATAGTGTCTCTATGTTTTGTGTTATTAATAGTCTTTGTTTTGCTTTGTCTCTCTGGTTGAACCTACAACCATATTTAGAAGGTGTTTGCACCAATTGCCTTAGTCTAGAGCAACATTACCCAATAGAACTTTCTGAACTGATGAAAATACGTTCTATCTGCATTGGCCACAGTGTCCAGCTATGAGCTACACACATGAAGCTACTGACAACAGATGAAATTTAGTTTTAACTTTACTTAGCCTTAATTATTTATATAGCCACAATGGCTTGTAGATTCCATGTTAGACCATGCAGTTCTAAGTCTATGCAAGGGGAACTCCCACTCTGCTACAAGTCCCATACTCTGTGTTCCCCCCAAAAGAAGAACGAGTTATAAAGGAGAACAGAGGTTTAGAGTAGAAAGTGTTATTGAGAGAGACAGCTCTTGAGAGAGACAAGAGGGAACCTGCAGAATGGGTTGGCGATGTGCCCACTTCTCAAAGGAAGTTTTATGGAGTAAAATCACGAGGTGAGTCCAACGTGAGACAAAACTATGAGCAAGCAGTAAGATTACAAGCACAGCCAACTCAGGTGATGCTGATCCAGTAGGGAAGTAGGCCATGGATAAATTTTGGAAGACATGAGTCAGGAGGTCCTGGTCACATACTTGGGTGACCAATACCTGTGCAGAATATCAACTGCAGTAGATTGCTTATCCTTTGCGGAGGTACATAGGTCTAGTCATTCTGTCCTTACCTGTAGGCCTTGCTTTTGATGAATGCGCCTCCAGCCACAGTTGCAATATGTTCTCACCTTTTGCACTGATTCCCTCCAGAGCCTGGCCTTGTCTGCCAAGTAACTTATAGTATTTCTTTAATCTTTCTATCTAGTCTAGCTGTCTGTAATGAAACCACTGCAACCTCTCTTCCATAGCTTTTTCAATAAATATGCTGCATGCCTGCTTGCATTGCATTCTGGATTTTTAAAACTGTGTTTCAGGAATTTAAAAATATTTTCAACAAACAGATCACAAGTTTGAGCCCAGTCTGGCTAACTTAGTGACTTGGCAAGACCCTGTCTCAAAGTACATTGAGAAAAAGGGCTGGGGATATAACTCAGTATGAAAGTCCTATGTTCAAAACCCAAGTACAGAAAAGAGAATGGAATCCCACATTGCAATGAATTTTGCACAGTTTCCTACACTAGGGGAATCCAACACAAAGCACTCAGCGGTGCAGCCTGCAGGTGACAATGACCACACAGAGGATAAAAATAACAGAGAGAGAGAGAAGGAGAAACTCTGGTTGTGGGGGAAAGATAAGAAGCACCGACTTTGCAGGTCTTTCTCAGCCATGGAAGGTAACAGGTGCACAGCAGTACTGCAACCGTGACAGAATTTGTGTAGGCAGAACAGTCAAATGCTAAAGTCAGCAGTCAGGCTGGGAATGTCTTAATCTGGGCCTCTCTCAGTGTGGAATGGAGCTCGGTCATAGCAACTTGTGCCTGCACAGCTGATGGCTCAGAATCACACTGCACTCACAGTTTCACTTGAGCAGAGTTACTTGGCAGAAACAAATCTTGATTTCCCTACCTGCCCATTGGTGACAATAATATACACCTCCTAGATATATGTACCTCTCCCCGATCCCCAGGAAGTATGAGGGTAAGAGAGGTAATACTTAGCAAGTGTTCAGCATACTTCCTGGCACATCGTGCCTCAGTTGGATGGCAGGGAAATGGAGATATTAGACTAATCATCCTTGTCCATTAGAAATAGATGCAGCAGGTGACTCAGCTTGCATGTGAAATCAGACAAATGATTGGCGGAGGAGTGGCAGCAACAGCACCTGCCCGTGGGGGCACTAATGAACGAAATGACCAAGAGCCAAGAGCACACAACTTATTCGTGTCTGCAGATCACAAAATCAGATCAACATATTTCGAATGGACCATCAGCGCTTGTAGTTAGAAACATGGGACATTGAAGATCTGTGTACATGCTCATGTGTGTGCAAGAGTGTGTGTATTTGACCCCGTACAGACCTGAGAAGAGAGCAGTAATGCACACACTTGTGTCCAATCCATCTGGATTGCATGGTATATCAGAAGTCCCAATCTTCAACAAGACAAATATTGTATGGCAACAAATATCCATCTTGTAACCAGGTAACTATACAAGTTGTGACATTTAAAGCATTTCTTCACAGAAACTTCCTTTTTATCAAACCAACCTCAGAAACATACCTGGGGAATTTGTACAGTTTGATATCTAACTCGAAGGAGTACAGAGGTAATTAGTTGAAGATAGGGAAACCATTGTTATAATTCACAAAAAACAAAAAGAATATGTTACTAAGACAAAGAAAAAGACATAATTAGTTGTCCGTTTCATTTAGATATTCTATTATATGTTTGGGAGATGTTATATTATTTATACATTTGTTTCTTTATTTGTTTATCTACTTATTTTGTTATTCATTTATTTACGAGGTCTCACTGTGTGGCCCAGGATGGCCTAGAATTCATGATCTTCCTGCCTCAGCCTCCAGGTTAGTGGAGATTGCAGGAATACACCATCATGCCCAATTTATCTTGTAGATTATTATGAGCATATCTTATATGTTCAGTCTGTGTCCAAGTTTGGCACTTAGAATCTTTAACATGTGATTTTTACTTCTCCTGGGGGTTAAAGAAACTTATCCTAAGGGGTAGGACCAATCTATCTGAAGCTCCTACTTGAGCTTGGTCATACTTGGTCACACTCTATTCCTTTGTGACCTTGGTTGATTGATTTAAGAATAAAAGTAATTTACTTGTTTCCTCAAATATAAAATGCTACTTTTTATGGTACTATTGTAGAACGCAGTACTTTATGCGTGTGAGGCAATCCTGAGTCCTGTATTTTACTGTGCTTTGACACAAGGTCTCTTGCTAAATTGCCCAGATTGAACTAGAACTTCTAAGTTTCCTGCCTCAGCCTCCAAAGTTGCTGAGGTTACAGACCTGTGCCACCATACTTGGGTTCAAATGGGAGCTATGGCACTTTTAAAAGTTCATTCTAAGCCTTAACTATGACAGTTTTTAAGAGTACTTGGTATAATTCTTAGCACACATACACAAAGAGCTCCCTTCAGATAGCTATGATTTCAGTGGAAAGAAACCAATTTCTGTCAAAAAGGAATATGAGTATATGATATTAAATAGGTCTAAGTTGTCTAACAATACTTAATCTGTTAATAAAAGTTTTGAAAACAGTTGACCCAATAAATAAATGCGTGCAGTATTCTAGTACTGCAATGGATCTTTTCTCCCAGTGTAGTTTTCCCTAAATTTGTAGCAATAAGCGCTGCTAAGCTGTCAGCCGGACTTTGAGAAGGTGAAAAATTAAATAGAAAGTCTGCTTCCCTTCACTCTTTACCTACAAGAATTTACTTACCAACAAGTCTAGCTTCTCTTAAAGCTTTTTTAGCCCCTCACAAAATACCAGAGGTGGCGCGGGGTCTCTCAGGGTCGTAGGCAGGGGTGCACTGTGAGCTTTCCAAACGGGGATGGACAGTGAGAGGGGAGCGGGTTGGGGCTGGAGCGAGGCAGGGAAGGGATTTTTAAGTTCGCTTGGCTTTGCTTTTGCAAGGAGAAGATGAGGAAAGGGCTGAGTGGGCACTGTGGAGAGGCTGCCTAGGTCTGTCCTCCGCAGAGACGCAGGTCCTTCCGCAAGCGGGACCCAGGGGTGCAGGGGTGGCTGCCTCTCCCCACCCCTGGGCGAGCTGCGCCGGAGTCATGGGGCAGCCTCGTCCGTGGAGGAGACGCTTCTGACCCTAAGGAGAAGTCTGGACGCGGATGACCTCACCGGAGTGTGATGCTCTGGAGTCTCCGGTGCCCTCTGCGAACTCCGCGCCCTCGCACCAGCTGCCCTGGCCGCGTGTGCAGCCGGGAGCCGCAGAAGGGCGGGCGCAGGGTCCCCGCGAGAGCGGGCCGACAGCCGTGCAACAGAAGCACGCGCGGGGTCCCGCCGCGCTGCCGCCCGGCGCAGGCATTTCAAGAGAAAGTTCACCCAGGTAAATCGGAAAGTTCCCCGCAGCTCCCGCACAAGCTGCCTGCGCCGAGCCGCGGTAGGGCGCTTTCCCAGCTGACATCTGGGGCGCCTTGGTTTGTTTGTTTATGCATCTTTAAACTACAGCACCACACCCTTTTCTTACCCAGCCCCTTTCTACCTTGGCTGGATTTGCCCGGGGTGGGACCGGGTCCCTCCCGCCCTCTCGCCCTCCCGCCTCTCCCACCCCGGGGAGCCGGGTCCAGCTGGAATCCCTGCGTCGCTCCTGCAGTCGGGACTACGCAGATTAGGGGCACACTGGGCTGGCTGCAAGGCAGCCTTTGGCTTTCTTCCGCTGCTGCTTCCCCTTTCTCTTTTCCCAAAGAGATGTGTAAACACATGTATTTCTCTGTTTCAACCCAGCACTTCGGTCCCCTGCCTGAGCCTGAATCCAGCCAGGGGGCTTGAGCCCCGCCGCTCCCCGCTCAGCTCCGGGGTCTGGGGCCGCGGCTTCCACCTCGGCCCTGGCCCCCGGCCAGGTGACCTTTCCTTTGTAAGTCTCTCCCTTAGGGGTGGGGGGCTGGCATCTGCCGGGAGTTGGGGGGTGGGGGAAGGAGGGGGCTGGAGGAGCAGGCAGGGCTGTTGTTAACACAGTTTCTTACCGTAAGAGGGAGTTCAGACCTAGATCTTCCAGTTAATCACACAACAAACTTAGCTCATCGCAATAAAGGCAGCTCGAGCCCAGCGGCTCTGACTCCGGACCGGACTGCTCCACCGGCAGCTGCGGCGGAGAACCCGGCCGCGGGCCCGCACCATGTGGGCCGGCAGACTCCTGCCAGCCCTGCTGCTCCAGCAAGTCCTCCTGCACCTCCTGCTGCTCCCTGCGGCCATCCCCTTCGCAGGTCAGTCCGCTCCCTGCGCCCGCAGGGCCCCCGCCTCCCGCCAAGCTCCCCTCTCCTCCTGGCTGCCGGGCGCCCCGTTTCCCACAGCCCAGCTCAGCTCTGTGTGTGGCATGGGTTTTCCACAGCCTCTCATTACGTTCTCTTTGGACATTCTTCTCGGGGTTGAAAAGCGTTCGCAGTGCTCCCTAGCATCCCCACAGGGCTGCTTCTGCCTTCACCCCGCCCAGCCCAGCCCATTTAACCCCACAGTCCTGGACGGTGGGGTAGCAGGGAAGCACCGACGCCGGCTGGAACTTTGTTGATTTGGAGGAGTTGAAAGCTGAAGGGTCTGGTCTGCAGAGGGGACAGGGATGGCCAGCAGGGACTCGCCTCGCCCCTGAGGACAGCCCACTGCCTCACACCGTCCAGGGGCATTCAGAGCCAAATCATGGCATTGCCAGGCTTTCATCCGGAGCAGGCAGATGAGAAGAAGTACTATACAAACGCGAGCTATGGAAATGAAAGAGGAAGCCGCTCTGCAGAGCTCTCCTGCTCTCCGGCTGTGGATTCCCGTCCTCTGGAAAGGCAGCGCTTGCCGGAGGGGCAAGACCATGGGACTGGGGTGAAAGCTGTGGGTCGCTGCTCTCCGCCCTGCTTCTCCTTCGGGCTTGCAGGTTGCAGAGGTGTCGCTGTGTTCCTAGTGCCCCGTAGCTGAGAGCCCTCATCTGCTGCTTTGGGAAGTTTGTGCTTGTTATCAGGACAGGAGGAAACATCTGTATCTGATTGCGTTATCACCGTGGTGGCTGGGTCCCCACAGGAGGAGGCGGTGGACGTCCCGGGCAGGCGCAGGGGAGTCAGAGAGAGGCAAATGCCCAGGTGGCAGACAGCCTTTGTGCCACTGAAAACAGAGAGCATACTGTGTCTTTCTGATAAGTCAAATGTGAAATTTATCAGACCTCTGATCTAGGTTCTGATGTAATACAAGGGTTGAAAACTCCGAGAATTTGCTCAGTGATAAGAAAAATCATTGAACCCATTTGGCTTTCTTCTACTTGGGGGAGTGACCCTTTTGGGCAATGACAGTTTGGAAAGTAAGGAGGAAAGATTTCTCTGCAGGGGTGGAAAAACAGTTACTTCAAATCTACCAGATTATTGGGGTTCAGATGGACCGTGCTGAAAGACATTCTTACAGACATTACTGGTGTAGGCAGCTCTGGGCACAAGCTGAAATCATGACTAATACTTTGATGGATTTCCTTTGTAAAGATTAAAGTTGCTGCTGTGAATAACACAGCCACCTGAAGTCATCCGAACTAATACAGGGAGAGCGCATGCTGAAAACTCAAACAGTAGATCGACCATCGACAGTGTCTGTTTGTTTCTGGCAAGCAGTCCCAAGTTTTGGCAGGAGACGTGCATTTGCAGTTATATTTCACTTTGGCTAATGCTGAAGTGACTGCGCTTCTTGAGTATAGGCAGAAAGCAGCTTCAGAGTGAGCTGGCAGGCAGGCACAGCCAACTGGGAATCACAGATCCATGCTATGAATAATTCTGAAGTGGATGATACTAAAATTGTCACGGAGAGAGGGTCCAGCTTTCTTTGGGTGGTGAGATTATTTGGATAGCTTCTAATAAAAATATTAGCACCAAAATGGAAAACAGGAGTGGCCTTTTTAAACGTACGAAGAGAATGTGTTCTTTTTAAATGTCTTCTAATGCTGAGCATTGAGAAGGTTTGTTGTAATTGGTACTGGCTTTGGTTATATTTTTGTTGGTTCTACCATAAAAACTAGCACACTGTTAGAAAAGCAGTGGGTACTGTAAGAAGTTGTAAACTAGCATGAGCAGAATGTGTTATGGAGACAATGGTATTTAAAAGTTTTCTTAAGAAATATTCAATATGATTGACACAAGTCACCTTCACAGGAGTGGTTTTATTGACCCCCACTTACACTGAAAACAAATACCAATCCTCTGTACCAAAAGAAGCTTTAAAAGAGTGCCTCTTGTCTAAGAGTCTTTGAAGAATGTAAAGGTGAAGAAGGAGGAAAGGAACCTATATTTGGTGAGCAACTTCGAGGAACCAAGTTCCAAAGAAAATCTTACTTAATTCTAGTAAGATTGGCATTGTTGTGCTTATCTTACAAGGGAAAACTGAAGGTCGAAGGCCTTAGTTATCTTATCTTTGTTAGCTGAGGGAAAGAGCTAAGACACCTACCAAATCCCTGTGAGGGAAATCTGTGACTGTCCCCTTTACTTATGTTGCAGCCAGCAGCAGTGAAAGCAACTGAAATTTGCTTTGGAGAATCATTTGGCTAAAGAATAGTAAAAGTCCTCTGAGCTGGAAGTCCTGTGGTTGAGAGTTCACTCTTAGCTGAGTGAATCAAATCAGGTTTGGACAGTGTTTGGTACCCATGTTCTGCATGGACAGATGAGTGGAGGTGTGATTGACACCTGAGTCAGGAGAACACAGAGGGCCACAGGGTAGTGGTGGGAAGTGTGAGGATGCTGCAGGAAGACCCCACACACAGGTGAAGGAGGCTGACAGGGCAGGTGTGTTTGGTACCCAGGGGAGTGTGACCTGTGGCTGGGAAAGCGAGATGAGGTCAAATGGAGAATCTTGAAGGTCACACTGAGCCACAGGTGCTCCATAGCAAAGACCTGATTGGCTGTGCCCTCGGCCGCTGTACGGAGGGAGAGTTGGAGGCAGAAATGGACAGAGAGGGCACTGACCACGGTGAGGTTTCTGTACCTGGGAGTCCTTCAACGAGGACTAGAAAGGAGATCAAGGGGAAGATCAGCCTCACACCCTCACCTCATTTTGTAAACCCTCATTTTTATAAACTCTTGGAAGAGATAGTGATGTTGCTTCTCAAATACCAATGGCTGATTTAAGTCTGACACGGTCTCATTCTCCTTGACATCTTCCTTTGTGATACGGTTACCTCACTGTCAGAAAAGGAGATGGCTGTCAGTGAGTGACATCCAAGTTCTAGCTAGATAATGGTCAGGACTTCGACTTCTAGCTGCCATTCTTGCCTTTGAGGATTTTAAAATCTCCAGGCATGACCATCTCCTTCCATTCATTACTTGTATACTTTTATCTTCACATCTTACTCTTCAAACTGTTGCTCACTAACCATCCGGGGAGCTTTCTCAGAATATGTGGAGCCAGATTCCCGCCTCTTCCCACACTCTGAAAAGCCTTTCCTTGCAGGATTTTCCTTTGAAGTCAACAGGTCATCTACACAGGGAAAATATATGAGGTACTGAGAGAAAAGAGTGTGAGGCTGACGACCAGGGGGAGAAATGTGTCTTTCTTCAAGCACCTTGATCCATTTGACCCCACTTTCTGGTTGTAGGTTTTCAATAGGGTCCTAATGATTTCAGTTCTGACACAGGGACTTCGGGTTTTTTAGGAAATACAGCTTGCAGCATTCTTTTCCATACTGGGAGAAGATGAAGAAAGGAGTTGTAATTTAAAATACAGGAAAGCATGACAAATCTGTCATCCTCTCTCATCCTGTGATTTCATTTCAGTATTTATTGTATGAGCTTCAACGAACAGTCACACAGAAAAGGGTAATAGGAAAAAACCTGATCCAAAGATATGTGCTTCCCAAAGAAAGACTGGCTTTTAGGTGTTTTCAGTAAAACAAGCATCCGTTGTTAATATATATGGAAGAGAAAGTTGAGACTGTTTTCAGCAAAGGGATTTCATTTTCAGATGCTGTTTGCCAATGGTTTCTGTTTTGAATTTTTATCTTATTGCATGAGTAATTGATGTTATAGATGCTTGTACTACATGATATGTAGCTACCTCGAACTTCATCAGTTTAGTAATTAGTTCCTGGCCTAGTATGATGGACTTACAGGAGAAAATTCCTATGACAAAGCAAGAGTACAGAGGAAAGAATCTCGATATTGGTTCCAATTTCCCTGATTAATTTTATAGCCCCAGACAAGTGTGTTACTTCTATTTGTTACATAGTGAAGGGGAATTGTAGATATATTCATTTTTCAGAATGATCTTTGATCTTTGCTGATAGTCAAATTACCAGCAAACAAGAATAGACTATTTTTAATGAGATCAACCACACATTAGCACATTTCAACAAGACAACTGAGGATCTACAGAATTAGATAAGCAACAATTACCCAAAGACTTCTTTTCTCCAGTGGTCTTTCCTGCTTACCTTCATATGGTGTGGTACTGAGAAAAGAAATTGGAGCAGTGACCAGGGCCACTATTTTAACTGATTACTTACTGTTTAACATAGTCTGTTTGAATTTATTCTTTATATACTTCTCTTAGCCTTAGACAAGTACAATAAGTACATTATAATCAGGCCAATTTTAATTCTATAATTTTAGTTAGTATGAACTCATTTAAGAAATATATACACATATATATTCACAAGTAATTCTGCATATATACATCTTCTATTTTGGCAGACAGTTTTAAAAATAGATTTTTCTCCCTCATTTAAAAAATTTACTTCCCGCTAACATGGATCTGTAACAGAAACAAAAACTTGAGCAGAGTTATGCTTTCTTTGCCTGAGAAAAGAGCAATTTCTTCTCCAGAAAACAAAGGATGACATTTCAAAAAGAAAACAATATTTGCATATCCCCACCATTTCCATCAAAATTGATTTCTAAGTATTTACCTAGCTGTGGTATTTTAAGTGATTCATTGTCACTCATCATTAATGTCGCTTTCATTCTATATGGATAGTGCAGTTGGAATACGGACATTTCAGGTAGTTAAGGACCATCCTTTGGGGAGGCGGAGAGAATGTCAGGATTACCATCTGTTTGCCGGAGTCATGCAAGAGATGTGGCAGACACTCATTAAATAGCATGTTAATAGATCATTCGGTTGGTTGAAATTTTATGTTAAAATGATATCTATTATACTACAGCCATCCTATCTAATAGGGGAAAGCCAAGTTAAAATTGAAAGTGTTGCTACAGAAATTAGTACTAGTTTTTTAGCTTTCCAAAGAACCGGAAATTTCAAGGCCCTCATGTCTCTTCTTATTTATTATGCATTTCCTGCTCTGCCATCCAAGTTTGCTCTGGATTGATAGCCTTGAACCAAATCTTCACAAAAATGTTTACAAGTTATATTTCCACATACATTCTTTGGAATTCTTAGATAAAGTTGACATGGTAAGCGGAGTCCAGTGGTACTTGTGAAGCCGGGCAGCTGGGCTTCCAGTCTGAGATTTGTATGTGGTGGTCAATTAACTTTTCCCTGTGCCTTATTTTCATCAACTTAAAAATGATCTATCCTCATTGCCTGTGGTAAAAGGGTATTCAAATAAACTGACCAGTAGAGGGACACAGTTTCTTCCATGCTTATTATCCTAGAGCTGCAATCCATCAGACATTGTGACCCATACTGTGACGAGGGTAGCTTGACTATGACATTGGGATGACTTTCAGAAAGTTGAGAGTAAAGAAGCAGTTCCTGAACTCTCAAGTAATATATAAGAGTAAGCCTGCAGGAAGTTTTGGTTGTGTTTTCCAGGTCTGTAGTAGGAGGCTTCATCTTATCTAGAAGTCTTGTGCTTTCATGAAGAAAAATGATGCACTGCATTAAAGGATGAAGTTTTACGTGCATTTGATTTACAGCCTTTGGCTTGATCTCAAGACAAACAGTCCAGTGGACAGTAAGAAATAGTGAGCAACAGCGCAGAACACTTAATTTGTAGTAAATGAAGAGAATGGCCAAAATGTGAATAGTGTGAAACAGTTTTAAAAGCAAGGGAGAAGAATTTGTCCACTGCTTAGTTTTAGTGAGAAGTCTCTCACTTGCCTTTGAACTGGCTTCTGTACTTAGCGCTAACTTACACAGGGCCAACTGTAGAAGAAAATGAAGATGTTAATTATAAAGCAAGGTGCACCTGCCTCTGATATCTGAGTACTGTTCGGAGAATAGTACTTTAGGGTGAACTCTATCTTAATTGTTTGTTTTATAGCTATTTCTTTAGGTTTCTTTATTTGTTAGGGTGAACTCTGTCCTAATTTTTGATGACATACTTCCTTTGAAAGAATATAGAAGAATGCCTGATGATTACATACGAAGGAGTGGCAAGTTCCTCGTTTTCCCCTGGTTGCAATAGTTCTGTCTGGCTTACAGCTATTCCGCAGCCCTATTCATTCCTAATCCCTAGAAGTCTCGCAGTTCTTAGATAAAATCATTATCTTACAGATAACACACACACGTTCCTTTTCTATATAAGCCTTGAAAGCATTTCTCTCATGTTTACAATTTTTGCATTAATAGAAGGACAGAAGAAAAGGAGAAATACCCTTCACGAATTCAAAAAGTCAGCAAAGACTACTCTTGTCAAAGAAGACCCGTTGCTGAAGATTAAGACCAAGAAAATGAACAGTGCGGACCAGTGCGCTAACAGATGCACGCGGAACAGAGGGCTCCCCTACACCTGCAAGTGAGTCTTCGCACGCGGTTCCGAGGGTGATTTTCCACGCACAGCATGTACATTGTAACAGTCCTTTCTCTGTGTTTTTGTCAGCAGTGTGTTCTGCTCTTTTGACTAAGTTTGAGTCTTGTTTTGAGTCATTGAACAGAAGTCTTAGCTCTCCGTGGATGCAAATATAGCTCGAGTAAGGGAGAATGCAAAAACTGTCCTCTAAAATCAACAGTGGTTTGATTTTCCTCCTTTCCTCCTTCCTTTTTCCTCCTTCCTTCCTCACTTCCTTCTTCTCTCTTTCCCCTTTCCTCCCTCCCTCTTTTACTCTGTCTTTCAAGAGGACTGGAGGAATTTTCAGAATAGAAACTGGACAATGGCCAAAATTTACTGCAACTTATATCTTTGTCTTCAGGGATTTAAATAAAATATGTTGAGAGAATTGGTTAAAAATTACTGGAGGGACTGGGGTCAGCAGCAAAGGCTACATGAAAGAATTTAGGGGATGGTGGCGATGGAGTTTCAGGTGAAAGTGGCAGAGCACCTCAGAGGCCTGAGGGGACTGCAGAGAGAGGGCCCCTTATCTCTGGTCCGCTTTGTGTGACCCATTCTGAATTTGCCAGTGAGCCAAGGGGAAAGACAATGTTTGGTCAGGAAGTCCCTCAGGACATCTCAGTAGCCCCTAAACTGCCAGAAGAGCATGCATTTCTTTGTTCTTTTTCATAAATTTCTTCTCCCCTCTTTTTTTCTTTTCTTACCTGTTTCAATCCCTTTCAAAAAGTAGGATTGTATGAAACATCCTGTAAATGTCAAATTCCAGTTTATTGTGTTGGATAGTGACAGGCAGTATGGCCTCAGGGTTCACCAGTGTCAGAGCAAGAGGTCCACTCCCCTCTCCTTTTCTCAGAGAACTGAGCTTGAGGGCAAGGTGGGAAGGCCTTGATCAGAGAGGTCTCCACAGAGGGAAGCCAGGAAGACTCTCTCCATTTTTATAGCCCAACTGCCACTTTCAGGGAGATGCTTTCTGGCATTGGGAGTAGGAATGAAATCTGCAAGCAGTATAATAATTCTGCTCTTATTCTATGCCAATTTTGTTTGTTTCCCTGCCTTTCTATAAAAAGCCTTGAGATTGTTAAAAAATAAATTAGAAAAAATTTTGTTTTCATTTCATACCTCAGCTGTGTAGACTTATCGAGTTGTTCATCTGGCAATCAAACAGGTTGCAGTAATATTTCCCCTTCACGGGGTTGGAAACTGTGGCAGAGGAGGTGGGGAACCACATCTCATTGTTGGCTTTAAACTTTGAATGTGAAAATACACTCTCTTGGGTCCTGTGTAAGAAAATATTGCTTCCATTCAATTTACGGCTATCATCTTAACTTGTTTATTCAGTACAGACTAAAAGGATTTGCTGCATTAAAGAATAGATGTGGCCTTATAAGTAAATGCACAGTTATCCCAAGTACATGAAGTTGCATACTTTCTGACCATATTGAGGTTAAGTTACATGCAGTAGCCACATAATATCAAAAGTATCAACACGGCTGTGGGATAGTGTTGTGAACCGTTTGAGAGAGGAAGAACAGTCTCCCAAGCTCTTCCTCCTGAGTCGGTGTCAGTAGTGCTGATTTGCTGGAGTTCTAGATGCTCTTTGCTAGGTAGGAAAGATGCTCAGAGTGCCTTATCTTCGCATTTGAGCAGAGTGTTCATCCACAAGGTGAACTAAAAGGAAATCAAGAGACCTCCTCTTCCAGCTGTGACTACGTAGAATCGTGCAGAATAATTTTAAAAAGAAGATGACAATAAAAATGGTGGGACAGAAAAGAATTAGAGCCATCTGAAAACCGGAAATCCTGTATGCAGTTTTCCAGTTGAAAACACCTACCATTTCTTTTTAGTACTGTGGATATTTACTGTTTTGTTTTTGATAAAACCGTTTTAGTAAACAACAACAAAAAAGAAATACTTGGCTGTAGGAACGGTAGTTATGAAGGTGAAACATTTTAATAATTTTCCTTAAAATGATATATCAAAAGCATATCCCCATATATTGATAATTTTTAAAATTAAAATGCTTATACAAGGGCAGGCATGGTGGCATATGCCTATAATCCCAGCACTAGGGAGGCTGAAGCATGAGGTTGCTGTGGATTCCAGGCCAGCCTGGGCTAAACAGTGGGTTCAAGGCCAACCTGAACTACATAATGAGGCCCTGTCTCAAAAAACCAAAAAACCAACCAACCAACCAGCCAAAGTCCATATACAAGCAAACATGTTTGGAAAACATGGATTGAAACAAAGTTATTCTTATAGCAAGATTTTTCTAATCTTTAATAAGCTTTATTATTTTATAACTCACTGGGGAGGGATACTATATGCAAACATTTCTGAACATTTGATTTTAGATTCTCTTTTCCTAGCAAAGGTCCCAGGATGGTGATTTGCCTGATGTAGCTTAGGTAATATCATTTTAATATGATTACAAATTTGGAAGACTAATCATGATATCATAATTATACTCATCCGTACAGAGGTGTAAAGAAAATCTCCCAACTAACTGGCTACTTATAAAAAAAAAAAATCTGTGGAAATAGTACAGATAGTTGCGTTACATGTTGATTTCTCTTGTTGAAGCTTTGAGTTTCCTACAAGTCACTGAGAATAGCATGAGAACGTCTCAACTACTTTTCAGTTGGATATTTAAATCTATACCCACAAGTTCGTGTTGTTTTTTCTTTTATGGCCACCAAATGGTAGATTCTGATATCACTTGCATTTTTATTATGTATCTATAACAGCCCATCTGATTTTATATTGTCTTCCTTGGAAAACCATATGCCAATTCTTTAAACATTGTATAAATAGTAGCGTTCCTTCTTTTCATTCAGATATTTTTTTCAGGGCCTTTGTTTTTAATAAAGCAAGAAAAAGATGCCTATGGCTCCCTTTCAATAGCATGTCAAGCGGAGTGAAGAAAGAATTTGGCCACGAATTCGACCTCTATGAGAAAAAAGGTACAGGACTTCTCCCTCTAGGTCACGCGTGGAAGTACACTGTCGTGTGCACATTCGTCATTTCCCGCCACAGTGCTATTTCCCACTGATTTTTCTCTTATGTGCTGATCTGTTAATATAGTCAGTTCATTCACAAAGGCTGATGAAAACCACAACTGGACTACTTCTAGTGTGATATTTTAGAGTTGTTCCCAAACTTCCTAGAATCTAGATTGAGCTTCCCCTTTGACTTTTTTGTGCTTGTCCTACAACTGATACTTTCCATGTTCATTTTAGTAAATATTGTCTTACATTATGAGATTAGGATACATTAGATTTGTGGCAGATTTTGACAATCATATTTTTTTACACAACAAATTTGTATAACTAATTTGTTACAGTGATGACTGCTCATAATTTGGATAAATTATGCAAAAAACAATAAAGACTCTATTATTTGTTAATTTATCTATAATGGTGGTCTGATATTATATTCATAAGATATTTACACTGTTGAAAAGTGCAATATATGAATAAAATAATTATAGAACATTAAATAAATATAAACTTTACCAATTAATTATCTCATTGCAAATAGTAATTATGGGCTATACTTCTGAAAGAAACATTCATTTTAATACTACCATTTACAAAATCTCATTCTGTGTCCTAGTAAACTTGGACATTTGACACTATACACAAATATGTATTTCCATGTTGATGGGGTCAGATGCTTAAATAGAATTAAAAGAAATTTCAAGGTAGAAAATAGATAATTTCTACATATCCTAATAAATCTGCAAATTCTAAGCATTTGTTATTCAGCATATAAACATCCCTCAGGCTTCCAGCTTGTTAACAAATGCATGTGCTATTATTTGATAGTACTATTGAGTATCTTATAATTCAGTAGTCATAGCTATACCTTAGCAGTTGAGATGTTAACAAAAATATAGAAAATGATTGTCAACTTAATGTAATTATATATATATATATATATACACACACAATTTCACTGAGGTAAAAAAGATAAATTAACTGTATTTTCTTGAAGTAACCTCTCAATTCATATTTTAAAAATCATTCCTTTTTTTTAGGTGTTTTAGGTTTAGTAAGTCTACCTGGCCAATTGTGTGTGTATATAGACTCACTTATGTAAAGCACAGACTGGTCTTTGTTGCTGTCTTGTATAATATACTCACAGAATTAAAACTTCTCATCATCTGCTTGTCTGTTTATTTTGGGTTACTCCAGAGGGTGTTGTTTTGAAAATTCTGTGAGAAGCTTTAGGCAAAAATTTCAATGTTATTTTGAAATACTTTAGGAGCTAATTACTTACAGGTTGGAATGGAATTTCGCTCCCTTCTTTCTCCTCGGGAAATACGCCTGTGTTTCCTACATTAGGACATCTTTCTCTGCTTCCTTCCGTAGACTACATCCGCAACTGCATCATCGGGAAAGGGGGCAGCTACAAGGGCACGGTCTCTGTCACCAAGAGTGGCCTCAAGTGCCAGCCCTGGAGCTCCATGATCCCCCACGAGCACAGGTAAGGCTGGCGCGAAGCAGATGGGGCGACCTCCCCTTGTGGGGTGGCGGTCTCGCCTGAGTCCTCCCAGTGATCTTGCAGCCCTGTAGTTAACTTAATCAGATTGTTGGGTTGTACGAGACCAAGGCTTATGTGAATTCATGGCTGAAATGAACAAAAAGTGGACAAACTCATCCTAATAGCAGCATACCTCAGCACTTCAAGTTACAGATCTTGATGTTCATGAACAAAGAATAAAACTTCATTTTGGAAGTAAAAAGACTGTTCTTTTTTTTGCCTTTGAGAAAGCACTAGAGGTTGACCAATGACTTAGAGGCAGATCAGACTCTGACCTTACAGAGGCTGTGAGGTTTTTCCCAACCTCTGCTGTCTATGCATTAGAACCACCTGTGGAAGGCCCTCGAGGACCCGCACCACCCAGGGGAAACAGACCAATTAAGACGGAAGCTTTGGGTGGAAAGTGGTGCCACCATTATTTGAAGCTTCCACGTGATTCCAAAGTGTAGCCACAGCTGAGCAGCACTGTGCAAGACTCGTGCCTCAGACTCAACACTTTCTCATTGCTCCTGTGGGCTAAAGATGAGAGAAAACTCATTCCTGGGAGAGGAAGTGTCTACACCCTAGAGAACTGTGTTTGTTGTGAGGTGAATACTATTTAAAGACCTGTAAACATAATACTTACAGGCTCCTGGGTTGTGAATTTTAATCATCATGAAAGAAAAACATAAACATCTAGTATCTAGCAGGGAACTAAAATATCCATGATTTTGCAGACTTATTTTACAAATAATTTTTATTGGGAGCTGCTGTGGTTACAAGCAGTTCTCCCCTGGTTAGTAAATGAATTACATTTAGTTTACCATGTGCCCAGGACCTTCTGGAATAGTTTACTTGTTTATCTCATGGCATTCTCAGAACAGCCAAGTGGGTACTTTCATTCCGTGGTGAAACTGCAGCATAAAGAACCTCAGTCCTTTTCAGGGTTCTAGACAGCTCACTAGTAAGTGGTAAGTGGTGTGGCCCAAAGATAAGGCCAACCAGTGTAGCTCTACCAACTCTAAGGCATGAGATATGTGGCCTCTTTGTGGGACAGAGGCCAGGACTCGTGTTTTGCTAGTTGTTGTGGTCTTCCTTCAGTGAGATAGTGAGATACTATTTTACTTAAATTCACTTTTTCTTTAAAAAAAAGTCAAAACTCTGTGAGATGATTGATTTTGTTTTAGTAAGCAGAGATGAGTTAATTGGCTTACATATAGGAAGCAGCAGCCAGTTCTTCCAAAGTGGGGTTGAACCTGTGATCTCAGCCTAATTAACACGAGCCACTAAGCAACAAACCGATCCTTTCAGTAACTGAAAACAACCATTCCCCAAATTAATTGCTAACAGTGATACAGGACTAACTCTGAAACATAGTATTACTTTATATTACAATGCAAACCCCATGGCTGGGTCTGTCCTTTCTTAAGGGTGTACATAGTGAAGACAATATTTTATTTAAATAGATATATCTTTTTTCAAAAGCAAACAAATACATATATACTTCTATTTTTTTTTTCAAGCATAGCATTTGAAGTCAATCTTACTTTCAGGATCTTATTTCAACCCAAATTCTGTATGATTGTGATGGTCTGCTAGATGAGTGAATGTGAAATAGATCTTCCTGGGAACTGGCTTCCTAGCCCAACCACTAATTTACCAAAGAACATTTCCTTGTGACATAGAGTTTTATGGTTGAGAGGGTCATATATGTGAATCAAGTACTTCTTTTGTGTTCAATGAGATTAACAGTTTTCTTTAACTAGCAGCTTATTGGGATACCTGCATGATCACTGCACACTTTTAAGTGAAGTGTTAACTAAAGATTAGTTTTATGGGAAATGGAAAAAGAAATACGTTTCTTTTTGGAGGAGTGATTTAGTGTTGACTCCCTTAACTGAAAAATTTTACAAGTAGTTTAATGGGAAGATGATGACAGATGACGAAATTAGTATAGAAGCTAAACCAGAACATCAGGTGGCATGATATCTACATCTATGTCTTTTATTAGTCACCAGGATTCATTAATAAAGTAGATGATAGAGAAGACCAAGCTTCTTATGAACACTGTTCATATGAAAAGAAAGGCAGGCTAACGACTCGAAGACCTAGTTTATGTTTCAAAGTATATTTGGATAATACCCAGCTTGGAAAATTTCTTCACTTACCTCCCTTAAAGCCTTGCTAACAGCAAGGACAGAGAGCTAAAAATAGTACGTGTGTGAATAAAAGGTCAGTCCCGAGCCTGCTGCCCAGCCTGCCTCATACGTGCTCAGTTCTTGCAAACATTGGTCAAGTGGACATGTGTGTCAGGAGGCAGCAGGCCGGGCGGCATCCTTTGGCAAGCGTGGCATGTGAGGAAGTCACGGCGACATCTTGCGACACAAGGAAAGCCAGTTAACTGGGGTAAGGTTCAAGCATAGCAGAGACTGAAGAGGAGGTACAGCCTGCGCCTTGTGTTCATCCTCCCTACGAGGAATTGGCTATGCATTGATTCGGAATTGTGGAGTGGAGCCCATCTTTCCTCTCCGTTTCATTCACTCCAGTGGGAGAACTTTGTCTATTGGCCCTTATCTAGTCTGAATTTCTACCTTATTTCTTCCTTCCTAACTGTACTTTTCCTGCTAAGTTATTGACTGATATATTCTCTACTTCTTCACTTCTTCACTGATATATTCTCTACTTCTTCACTTCTTCTTTTGTCTTTCCAATCCCACAGGAAAGGTATCTGTGTGTATCTGTGTGTTTCTCTCTGTCTCTCCTTCCCCTCTTAACAAAAAATCCCCTCTAAAACTATAGCCAGTGAGTATATGTTTATCGTATCAAACATGTACCAAAAACACTATTTAGTTCAAGTAGACTTAATATCAGATAATGTTAGGAAAAAAGAGAATAATAATAATCTTGTTCATTTCATTCATCTTTTAAATGAAGAAATCAAAGCTCAGTAAATAAGTTGCCTAAGACTTACCTATTAGCCAGGTGATATATGTGAGGCAACAGAAAATTTTGTGATTAATAATATCTTGCTCTTGCCACTCCGCTCTTTTTACAATATAAAGTCACACCAGAATTTCCCTAAGTGAATTTGGAGGATGCACGAACTTCATGAAAATATACCCCAAAATTTGGTTTTGGTTCTGTCAGAAAAGTATTTTCATATAAATTTACTATAAAAATTTGGAGAAGTGCTGAAAATGGAAGAAAATCCACTAAAATATTCTGAAACGATAGGACTAAAATTTTTTTAGAGAACACATAAATAATACCCTTTGTTTTGAAAATTAATTTCTGTTAGAAACTGCTAAATTATGGCCAGTTTTAATTACATTGTCACTTTTATAAGTCATTCACTTAGTGTTTTATTTTCATTTCCCCATATTTAAAATGCTAGTGAAGGGGCTGGGGATTTAGCTCAGCGGCAAAAGCGCCTGCCTGGCAAGCTCAAGGTCGTGAGTTCGGTTCCCGGTACTGGAGAAAAACCAAAAAAAAAAAAAAAATGCTAGTGAGAAAAAGTTGTAAACTCTTTATCAAAGACACCTTGGAGTTGCAGAATATTTATAGTATTTAATTCATCTTTTCAACAAGATTTTGTTGTTAATAAGCTTCTTAGAATAGGTTATTTCTACGTGATCCATAATTCATATGTTCCGAGGACTTCACTCTGGAGAGTTCTCATGTCCAAGTGAAAAATTTCATTGCAGAATGTTGCTTGGTACCTGAGGGATCTCTGTATCCATTTTATGTATTAATTCTAATAAAAATTAAAATGGATATCTTTTCTTCTTTTTTGACTGGCCTACAAGATCTGTATGTATTGATGAGATACAGCGTGATGTCTATGTATATATTAGTTAATGACCAGTTTAGGGTAATTAGCATATCCATTTATAATTAGAAGTTTCATTGGACAGTGAACATGCTTGAATTATATTTACTGAAAGATGAAATCTTTAGACTTTATGTATTTTGAGAACTCTAAGTTCCATAAAAATAGAAATAAAGCTTTTCAGCAAATCCCCCAAAAATATTGAGAATGTGACATTTCTCAAAACACTCTCTATTGATATTACCCATAGTTATATATTATTTTTAAAAATAATTTTTTGTGTGTATCCTAGAAGGAAAATGTGACAGCACTGAAGCCAAGGACCTAAGCATCACAAAAACAGTCAAAAGGTTTTGGCTTTTTCAGATATGTTGGGTACTTTGTGTTAGTAACAAAACGACCAGGAGGCCCTTTGAAGTTTTACATGAAGGTAAAAATTCCAAATTATAGAACCCAATGGTTAACTGTTGTGGATTAAGACTGGAAGCCCCAAGCCCCAGTGACAGTCAATATTTTCAAAATTTTTGAAAGAAATAAGCAGTTCTATGCTGTATGAATCAGAGTAGAAGATACAGAATGGAGCATGCTTACACATAGGTAGCATTTGAATGCCTATTTTATTATCTTTTTTAATTCCTCCACACAGCTATTCGAGCTGTCAGATGTTAGGAGTTACGGTGTACTCCTTGTACAGATGAGCTACCAGGCAGGCTGAGGCCAAATTACTTGCCGGGGTCTCCCTGCCAGAAAGAGCCGAAACTGAAGTCTAGGTTTAATTTGACTTTGGCTTCTTGCTTCATGTGAATGCATCAGTCTGTTTCTCAATGGTGCAAGGGAGAGAAGGAGACTCTTCTTTCTAAGAAAAGCTCTAAACAAACAGGTAATGATCATGGATAAGCAGTGCGGTATCGAGAGCTCTACGTTCACGCTGTGATGTCTCTCCTTAGTGACCTCTGAGTGGAGCAGCGGGGTTGTGTTTTCTCCCACACCAAGGACAATCCAGAGGTTAAAATTCTTAACGTGATGTTGAATACAAAAGTTCAGCTAGGTGAATTTAGAAAAATGGAAGTATTTTCAGAATGCGTGGAAATGACCAAACTTAAGTCAAAACGTGATTGTTAAGAGATAGACTTAAGGGGTAACTTTTGTCTCAACTTTCAGGAAAATTCAACTCACTGATTAGTAAATTTAATAGGCCAAGCATAAAGTGCATGCTCTTATACTGTAATGATTATCATTTTAAAACTAGCTTTTTGCCTTCGAGCTATCGCGGTAAAGACCTACAGGAAAACTACTGTCGAAACCCTCGAGGGGAAGAAGGGGGACCGTGGTGTTTCACGAGCAATCCCGAGGTACGCCACGAAGTCTGTGACATTCCTCAGTGTTCAGAAGGTAAATGAACCTGACCGTGGGGGGCACCTGGGCTCCCGTGTGCGGAGCTTTGGCGCACATGGCAGGTGTGCAGACACAAGTCAATCCCAATAAATATGTTGTTCCCTCAAACGCAACCATGGAGAATTATTTGGGCACTCGTACATGATGTTTTGCACACTACTGGATGACCACCAGATTAATGCAAGTCAAGAGCCAGTGTTCAGTTTGAATTTCGAGGTCTGCCTGAAACATCTACTGGCAATACTGTCCTAAGCTCATGTACCTTGAAAGTTGCTCCCATAGATCACATATAAAGAGCTGAGTGAAATTAGCCCTTTATTAGTAATACTGATTCTATACATCCCGCACCTGCTTGTGTAAGCTTTGGACACAACTCCTGTGATGAGGTCTGACCCATGTCTATGCATTCGGAAGACAGTAGGATGAGGGTCACTGGAAGCTCAGTACCCCCAGGTGTGTTTGGTGAAAATGGGACTAGAAGCAAATCTGACACCCAGGTGGGGAGTGAGTGCCAATGTATTAGGGTCCTAGCAGCGGCTTCCAGCTATCCTGAAGGTGAGCACCCAGGTCCCCACTGTGTCCACCCTCTTCTTCAGCACACGAGGTGCTGTCTTTACTCTGGAGCGACCAATGAGCTGGAAGAGGAACTATTTCAGCATTATATGTGGGTTCATTTTTCACAGATATTTGGCTATTGAATAGCTAGATTTTTTCCATTCTGTCAGAAACTCTTACAATTTGCCAAATCCAAATGTAGATTGAATTATTTTAGAAATTTATTAAAATTTCGACATACTTGGGGAGAGGAAGGGGTGCTGGAATTCTGTCTTATTTTTATAGGAAGGTATTTTACCTGTTTAGTAATTAAATATTTTTTGAGTTCTATCATCCGTGAATATCCATAAAGACCATGGCTTCCTAATTGTCACAAAGAAGGTGAACGTGTTCCTTGTTGTTACTTAATTTAAAACCCTTGACTTCATGTGGTAGAGCCAGTTCCACCTCTGTTTGTAAATTCTTACTCTCAGTTCCGTGTCATATTCTGTTCCCTATAACTCTTTCATTGTTTTCTTTCCTTTTAAAAATAATAAACTTAACTATGATAACATTTTGAACAAGTCTGTTTTGTATGACTAAGTCTGTGCTTAATATTTGTCTTAAATTTGCACATGGAAGAAAAAACCCCTATTTTTAGGGAAATCTCCATTTTCAGTTTTCTAAGTCACTTTTGAAAATCACTACGAAGGAATTCTGTTTATTCATTTTGTTTGACCTGGTTAGCTATATCCCAAGGCAGGGAATTTGGTCAAACTGTGTACAGCTTAGAATGTACATTCCTTGTGGGAATGTGATTTTCAAGATCTGATTAATAAGAAGAACCCTTATTGAAATACAGTTGGTTCCAGACCAATGGGTAATGAATAATAAAAGTGTAAGAATGGAAGTAATTTAAAACTTTTCTACTTAGTTGCCCCTATAAGGATGTCATTCTTAATATTCTTTAATAACTTGAGATCATCAAACCTCCTGTAGAAAAAGAAATTATTGCCAAAGACACAGTGCTCTTGGTCACAGTACCAAGAGTTGTGGGTATATTCTCTCTGGAAGCGACTAGAGGTCTGACAAGGCCATAAAAGCCCTCGTTCAGGAGATACAAGAGATGCCTGCTCTGTAGGGGAGCTAAAGATACTTCAGGGAGTGCACTGGAACTGTGATATTTTAGATTGAAACTAAAATAAGGGATGTTTTAGCAGGATTTTATTGAAGAGGATCAAAAATAAGCATTGTCAGTATATTCATAGCAAACCAAAAGATATTTATAAACTGAATAATACAAAATATTAAAATATAATATGGATACGAGGTAAATATCTACTAAATACATGTAAGAGGGAGAAATCTCAAAAGCCATTATGCTTAAATAGTATAGTGGTGGGTGGAACTTTTGTATCTGTGGAAATTAATATTCAGTGATAAGGATTCAAAGGTCCAGTTAGAATGAGTTTGTAATGATCAATTTTTTTATTTATAAAAATAAACAAGAAAAACATCTATTCTTTTTTAAAAAGACAAGACAGTATATATATGTATATATACATATATGTATATTTAGAAAGTTTTGTGATTATATTAAACTCTACTGAATGATTGTCTAAAATTTGCCTAAAAATTTAGTTCAAAAAGAATTATATATGACATGTAATAAATAATATTATTTTCCTCTAATTTAAAACTTTGGAGTACATTAAATATCCTAAAGGTAAATAAATAATTATTTTATCCTATATAGGACCTTTCAGTTAAATAGAAAGAAAAATTTTAAGAGATTTAGTGTAAATATAGTGAATATATATTACTATGTCTTAGCAACAATATATTACATTTTTTAAAAGTGCTGAGAGACATAATGTTAAGTGTCCTAAGTACAAAAATTACAACTACATGAGCTAACATATATGAATTAGCTTAAGCTGGTCAATCTACAACATATACAAGCCTTTACCTTATATAATTATGTAAAGAAAATATTGCCAATTGATAATTAATTAACAAGTTGGTTATGTAAAATTCAATTCCTTTATAATTGCTTCAGATTTAAAATAATTATTAATCATTGGAACAGATGTCATTTTAACGACTGTCAAATATTCAAGTAAATACATTTTATCTAAGCCAAAGCTCATCATTTTAAAACACTAGCACTTAAAATCTCAAATAATACTGTCAACTTTATGTATATGCCTCCAAGTTCTATGTGAGAAAGCCTTTTAAAGGCAAAGACTTAAATAAAACTAGTTTTTATAAATATGGATTTGTGAGACTATTCATACTTTCAGTTTTGCTGAAATAATTGCTTATATGGATATTTCTGAGCAATTACTTTTATTAGAATAAAATTAACACTGATACAAAGTAGATCCAGTAATTGACTGTTGGATTTGAAACAAAAGCAACTGTTTCAGTTTGTAAACCAACATCACCTATGGCGTCATGACTGAAAAAAAGTACAAAATTTTGAACTTTCTTGCTTAGAATGATGAGAAAGATGTCCCGTGAATCCACGTCATGTTCCTACTTATGTGTAGTTTTAATAGTTTTCTCCCATCATTTTGGCCAGAGCTATACTTGGAATATTGTGACCAGCAGTACTCCTTTCGGTTCATTTGATCTGGGACAGAGTTTTGCTCCTGAGCAGGCTGTGGGACGGTTACCTGAGGGTGACCTGAGGCCCTGGCCAGAGGGGAGGGCGGAGGGCCGTCCTCGCTGGCCCCGACCTCTCCCCAGTGCCTGCTCCACAGCACACACCTTCCCCTGCCCTCTTGGTAGATTGGCTTGGTTTCCACCTGTCCTACTTGACTTTGAGCTGAGAAATCTTAAAAGATTCTTTGAGTCCTTGAAGTTTGAAAAGTGAGTTCAAAATTTGGTCTTCTAGAAGCAATTTCTATGACTAACTTGATAATCTGATTAAGTGGTAAAACAAAAACTTCAGCCATTTGTTTCCCAGGGGAGGCTGATAGCTCTGCTGTGCCAGGGTCTCCCCTTCTGACCCTCTAAGGAGGGAGCCCACACTCAGGAGGAAGAAGGCAGAGGGGAATGGGAGCAATTTAAGAAGGCCGGGGATTAACAGTGCTTCCTGAAATTGTTACCAGTCTGTCTTCAAGCGCAACCAGGTAGAATTTGTAACAAACCCGCTAAGTACGTAGCACAAAAAGGCAATTTGGACTAATGCAAAAGATTCCAGAGGGTCGAAGACTTTTTCTGAGCTTGCTTAGAGTGATGAGAGAGATGGTCACTGAGTCCAAGTCACGTTTTCTGTTTTAGGTAAGTCTCTTACCTAAGCCTTGTTTGCTTTACAGTGCCAACCAAGCAATGTCTTATACACTAAAGTTATAGAGTAATCAGAAAAGACACAGCTACCAACCCTTAGCTTCTCAGTTTTATCATGAGCATGTTTAATTCCCACTCCAAAAACAACTTTCACTGCTTTCTAACATTTTTCGTGCTAATTTGTATTACTTTACATCTTTAGGCTGCATCCACAGCCATAGCTGTCTTCACTTTACTACAAATATAACACACTAATTCATGCTGTCATCTCATTTTATTGTATGCTTTTCCTTGTATATCTTACCCAATTTTCATTTATTCCTCAAGGTCTGCTTAAAATTTCATCTCTCCTAAAATACCACTGTCGCCAAACACTTAGAACCTTAGAATCTATAAACTTTAGTATCTATAAACTTGCTATCCAAAAGTAAGATCGAAGTTCTAGAAAATCCGCTTCCCCTGTGAGCTTCTTACTAATTCCCCGGCCAGGACCACTGACTCAGAATTTGTTCTTTAACCAGATGTGGAGATGTTTTTTATGTACATTGATGCTCGCGGACACCTTGACATACCACACTCATTCTGGAAAGAAGTTGTTTTATAAAGTCCTCTATTTCATTTGTATAGCTATTTTTTCTTAAGATGAATAAAAATCTATATGTCCAAAAAATGTTTGATAATAATACGCATACTACTGCTTTCTAGAAGATAATTCTATTTACTCTCATTAGAAGACGATATTCTATCGCAAACTCGCTTACCCAAGGTAATCTAATAGATGTATTCTGATCTCTGAGTACCCTTTGAGAGTAGAGTCACACATTTGGATGGCTCTTTTGTGTGCAGCCATAGTGATGAATTCTTTTTCCGTCAATACAAAGGGACAAGCAACAATGATAAATGCCACACCATTTTCATTGACGGTATCAAATTTTGCATGCTTTTAAAAAGAGAACCGAATAAATCCATACCCCATTCACATGAAAGGCTGAAATGTGAGGATGGGCAACCTGTGTTGGGTTTTTCAATGTGGAAGTGACCTCCTCTAGCCTGAGGACCTTCATCACTGTGCTTTCGGGCTCCCCCTCCTTACAGTTCTGGTGCTCATTGTTGTGCTCAGGAGCTCTCAGTATCAAATGAGGGGAGGTTGAACGGGTCCTTTGTCTTAGTTCATGAGTTAACTTACACGAAAGAAAGTAGAAGGATAAAGCCATTAGGTAGCTCATAGTTTTCAGAAAGTTAATAGTTAATGTCCTGTTACAGAATACAATTAAAAGGTTCAATAGTAATAGTTCTACTATGTACAGAGTGTCTACCAATACTCAATATGCTAGATTCCAGTGGAGAAAAGCTAAACATTAACATCTTCCCACATTTCAGCTAAAGTTAGATGATCAGTAATCACAAGATACAAATGATGTGTTTGGGGAAATTTGCCGGGTTCGTAGATGAGGCAAGTGATGATTTATTTCACAGAATGCCTGCTGTGTTACAAATCAACCTTCTGTTTGAGAAGTCTAATGTTCAGATGTAGATGTGATTCAGAATTTTCAGCGTGATATAAGAGGCCAGCCAGAAAAGAACAATTAATTAATCTTACAGAATCATCTATGAGGTCCTGCAAAAGTGGATCAGCTTATACACTTACAAGAGTGGGTACAAAGAGTTCAGTGCTAGGTCATCTTGTAGCCTAAGCTAGAAAAGAATGTCAGCTTGTCCAGCCTACTCAACATGGTGTTCACTACTAGAGGGAAGCTGTGATTTCTTTTTTAAAAGATAAATATGTTCTTCAGATTTCTACCCGGAGCTGATCTCTCAAATATATTGGTTCCCAGTTATTGCTTTAACCACAGGGATATGCGCACCCAGTTAAAACTGTGTAATTACTGTGTGTGGGTATCGGGCAAGTGGAAGGAGAGGCACTACTGTGCTCTCAACAGACACTGATTCGTCATTTTAGACCAAGGAGGGAAAAGTCTCCCAAGGTCTGCTTTACATTTTTAATTCCTCTGTAATTTCTGGGCAGTTATTGAGCAATCAGATGTGCAGAATCGTAGCTTTACAGTAAATCTGTATGTCGCCAATTACAAACTATAGGCATATTCCATAGGATATATTTTGGGCCGCCATTTATGTATATAGGGTATTTAAAAATATGTTTGCTAAGCAGCTGGTTTATTCCATTCCTTTGAATGGAGTGGTGGTGTTCTTGATTTTGTTGTCAGAAATGATTAACATGCCGTACTTTAATTTTATTAGTGGAATGCATGTCTTGCAATGGGGAAAGCTATCGTGGGCCACTGGATCACACAGAATCAGGCAAGATCTGTCAGCGCTGGGACCATCAGATTCCTCACCGGCACAAATTCTTGCCTGAAAGGTAAAAGACCCCTGAACATTAATGTGCACAATTCTCCTTACCCACTGTTACTTGCTCCATGACAGCTGCTGTGGAAGTTGCTTGAGTCTTTTCCTGAGCGTGCACATACACACTTTGTCAAGCTCCTCTGAATGTTCAGGCTCCTTCTGAAGCAATTGATGGAGCCTGATGCTTGGAGGAGGGGGTCTTGGCACACAGGGCTTTGTGCTGAGGTTCTAGAGAACACCAAGTACACTTTCAGTTACTCTTGGCACACTGGATTAGGAGGCCCGCACCTTTGGACAGTCCTGAGCTCAAAACCATCATGGGATGCACAGTGGAAGGACAAGTAGAAGCATCTGCTTTCACCCAATTGCAAAGTTAAACGTTGAAAGGGATGTGAGTCAGGACTGGCCACTTCCTCACCTGCCTGGTTGGAAGAGGGCTTATTGCCAAGCGCAAGTGCATCTCCCTCTAGAGCAGCAGTTCAGCCTCTGGCGCCCTGACCACAGGTGTAATACCTTGACGTGGGCCAAGCTTATGGGAAGGGAGCGAAAGTGGCAGCAACAATGCTTTGATGCTTCATCCTGCTGTACCTGGAAATTGCCAATCAGAGAAGCAGACAAGTATGTCTACCTTTTTCCTAGGAGAACACTTTGAGCTTTAGTATTTAACCAAGGAAATTATGTGTTCCTTCCTTCATGTCACATGAAAGGTTTAAATTGAAAAAAGGGGGGGGGAATTCTTTCGTTTTTATTATAAAGAAAAAATATACAAAAATTTTTAAAGGAAAGTCCATTCATGCCTTCCTTTGGAAACTGCTTAAGTGTGTTTTTTCTTTCTTGTTTTTTCTATCATTTTTTGTTAATTTTTGCTTGCTGGTGTTCTTTTCAATGACACTGAAACTCTTGACTTATTTTAAAAGTGCATATCTTTTCTTTTAAGTGGGAACAGAAGGGATATGGTAGCAATTAAAACCAACTCAGCCATTCAGGGCACCCTTAATTTAAACTGGGAGTTGGGCTGTGGGGAGAGTGGTGTGATGGTTTGTCTCTAGCTCTGGTGGAGCGAGGGCACGACCCAGAAAGGCTTTATTTCCAAAATTGAGCTATCATTAGTAACAGAGCTATTGAAACTGAACTTTCAGTTTGAACTCTAAGCCTGCCCCAGAAGAGGACTGTTTTCTTAATGAGCATTCTACACGGGGTCATGTTTTTGGAATCTGCCCTTAATTGGGCTCTGGGAGAAAGGGATTCAAATGGGGACCCGAACTGGTAGACAGGTACCAAATAGACCTCACTTATTAGCAAGAGGATGATATGCTATGCTTAGTGGAATATGGAAATTACAGAATTCTGTAGTTAGTGATTAATAACCCCTGTGAATTAGAAGATAGAAAACCTGCTCTTCCCTTGAGCTGCATAGAAAGTTAGTTTGAGAGCTGAGGTCTAGGTGGTGTTCCAGGCAGATTTACGTGACACTTTTCTCGGTGTGGTTTGCAGATACCCCGACAAAGGCTTTGATGATAATTACTGCCGCAACCCCGATGGCAAGTTGAGGCCATGGTGCTATACTCTTGACCCTGACACCCCTTGGGAGTACTGTGCAATTAAAATGTGTGGTAAGTTAGTGTCAAATTTATTGCTTCCTTTTCCTCTTGCAGCCTGGATCTAAGCAGGCGATTATTAGGGAGACAATTTAACAAGTATTTTACCTGATGCTTTAATGTGTGCAGGTTTTAATATTTTAAGAATGTGTTACATAATCCTACTCAACCTTTTGAAATTTCAGAGTGGCATTGTTTGAAAGGGATACACAAACAAGTGTGTGTGTATAATTTATACTTTTCACAAAAAGTCATAAGTATCAAGAAAATGAAAAAAAATTGGAGGGAGACAAAGATGAGAGAATATATGTAGCATCACAGTGTCATCGAAGCAGTGACAGATAGGACCTTAGATTCCAACGTCTGGATCCTGGATCCTCTCCATGCATTTCTCCCAGAATGGGGCAAGGGCTGCAAACGGAATTGGAAACCTTCGCGGTGGCTGTCTGAGACCACCATGAAGAAAATAAAGTCTACAGAAGCTTCTCCCACCTGATGTGCAGACACTGCCTGCTGCCCCTGTAGCCACCTTGGGCATGAGCTTGTCTCCTAGTGGTCCCTGTCGCCTTCGCCAGACAGGGGTCCCAGCGAGCTTGCATGAAGTCCAACTATAAAGCGTGCTTTCTTTTGTGCCATCTCCCTTTAAATGTGTGTATGTAGCATTCTCTTCCACAACTAAATCCCACGATTTTGCTCTTCATTGAAATTATACTAGATACTAGTGAGATAAGGAATTTTAATGAATAGATGTCTCATCTTTCAACCGAAACTTAAAATGTTTTAAGGTCAATAGAATTGCATCTATTCATTAAACTGTGGTCCTATTATAATTTGACTTGATAATATATGAATATGTGTATAGAGAAATTCACAAAACTAAGTGATCTGTGTAAGATCTGGTATGAGCATATGGAGTGACATATCCAAATAAGAGGACATGGATAGATATTAGCATGTTTCCTATTTATGATGTGAATATTTCCTGAACAAACCTAGCTCAGTCCTACTCAGTACTGATGGGTAAACCTCTCCCTTCTCAGACCCACTAATGAAGGCAAATGTTTCAGGGGAAAGCACGGTATGTGTGAAATCAGTGCTGAATCTGGAAGCCTCTTAAAGGGAAACACAATGTTACCAGGAAAGTGAATCATCTTCTCTGTCCTCTAAAATAAGAGATGACTCCTGTGATAGTGTTTCTCTGCGTGGAAACATTATCAAAATGAGTGCATTCTACTCCTTAGCTTGTTCAATCATGCTAATCTTCCTAGCATTCTTGGTCAGTTAGGTACAGTCAAATATTCTGATTTTTTTTTCCAATTTTTGTGTGTAGGGTACTCTTATAAATCTTGTGTGGAAGACACCAATATAAACACACACACACACACACACACACACACACACACACACACACAGTATATTCACCTTCCAGCTGGCAAGACATCCAAATGTTGCCCTTTGTTTTGGTACTAAACCAATTTTTTGCATATTTAGAAAGAGATTGGGAGAGAAAAGAAAAGACATGAATCTGATACTTTCTAACATTATATAGGTTTCCTCTTCTTTCCTTTTTCCATCAAGAGGAACCAGCTAATTATGTACATAGCACGCAATAATTCTGATATCTCTGTTAAACAGTGTGGTGTTTATGGGATGTGATTCCTCAGAAAATGATAGTAGGATTTGTGAGCCAAATCTTTATCTTTTAGATTAAAATAATCTTCTGAGCTTTACGAATTTTTGAGAAATACTTTATTAAAGGACAGCTTCTATTTTAAAAATTATATGAATATAAAGAGCTATAAAGAGATTATACTTCCAATAAAGTGAATGAAATATAATTGGAATTCTGGACGGCATAGACGATAACATTTTATAAATGTGTTTTAAATTCTTTGACTTGCAAATACAGTAAAGTGTATCATGCCAAAATGAGGAACTCAGTGGTAGTTTCTGCATATTAGCTTTTTATTATGGCAAAACAAATTCCCAGAAATGAGTGGCTGAAAACAGCACCAATGTTACCCGCTACTTTCCGTAGGTGAGGAGACCTGGTACGACTCAATTATGTTCCATGCTCAGTATCTCATGAGGTCACCGTCAAGGTGATGCCCAATCTGTGGTCTGATCCAAGGCCACTGGTTAGTGAGAGAATGGTTTGTTGTGGTTGTAGGCAGAGGCCTTTAGCACTTAGAGACTACCTGACATTCTTGGACATGTCATTGGCTTGACCACTTGTCACTTGACTCTTCAAAGTCAGTAGGCTGCTGAATCTGCTCGAGCTGCCAATATCTAAATCTTTCTAAAAGGCTCACTGGTTAGATTAGGGTCACTTAGGTTAATCTCCTTTTAATTAACTTGAAGTCAATTCATAGACATTTTAATTATATATGCAAATTCTCATTCTCTCTGCTTATAGCCACTTAGTTCCACAAGAGGACTAGACCCCTGGGGCCACAGCCCCCCAATAGTCTATCTCTGTGACCTTGGAGTTCCTAGCACATGGAATTTTAAGATATTGCAAATATAGGTCAAGACAGAAAGTAGTCAGTAGTGCCTGAAGCAAGTGCTTGTTGTCTTATGATTCTCTCCTCCATAACAAATTCATAGTTTGAATAATAGTGCATTCCATGAATTAATTCATTGCTTTTTAGAAAAAGCATTTATTGGGATAACTGTATTTTTCTTAAGTGAACTATAATGGGTCTCTGGCCATTGAAAACTCCCTTGTGACTGGTGCCCTTTAGAAAACACTATTGAGTAATGAAGTCAGTTCTCAGACTGACTACTGAAGCCACTTGTGTACTGGTTAGAACTGAAGCATTTACCATTGGGAGCCTAAATTGTCTCTGTGGGTTATATGAGTTGATATGTTATGCAACAAATTAGAAGTCTAAGAAAACAATTCATTAAAAACAGTGGTGATAAACTCATTGTATATTGATAGGTATTTTAATGAAAAAAAAATATTTTCCAGAAAATATAGAAAACCATGATATACCAAGAAAGCTTTGATCTCCTTTACCCTTGGGAGGACTTTGGAGGGCTCAGGTGTGCCTGGTCCCTCTGACAACAGCAGAACATGCAGTGCAGCTTGGATCCCTCAGAGGACAGTGAGTAGGATGACCCAGTGGCTGTTCTGCGATTCCCAGACCTCTCTGCCAGCACCTCCTGAGTTAAAGACCTCCTCTCTCATGGATTATCTTTTTCTCTGCCTTTCTTCATTAATCCTGCAGGAGAGTCTGTTCTGCTGTTAAACTCTTTTTCATGGTTGGTGTCATTATTTATCTAGTTTAAAATCCAAAAGGCCAGAGTAGTCCTAGGTCTGGCACTCTCTCCTGCTGCACACTGATCCACCAGAGAGCAGTCTCAGTTTCTTCTCCCACAAGCCTCCACAGCTGGCTGGCTCTGTGCATCAGGAAGAGAACATTAATTCTCACTGGGAGGATTCAAATGCCCCTCGAGTGCAGTTTCCTCCATAGCCACTGTTTTGCCCTTCCAATTCCATTTCCCCAGTGCAAACAGTTCCTCATCCTTAGAACACACTACACAGACACACATGCACATGTACACACAGACACACATGCACATGTACACACAGACACACACACGCACACACACAGACACAGCGATTAGAAATGTTTCAATGATTCCCTTTGATCTGAGGATGAAGATGAGGCAAAACCATCCTGTACTCATCTCTCACATCTCTGACCTCCTAGTTGACCCTGTATCTTAGCACCTTTTTCCTCCTGCTTTGTTGCTGTCTGTTCAGCTACAGTGGACCGAGTCCCTTAGCTTACATTTTCAATTTCACGTTATAGACTCTTCACGCCTGCCATCTCTTCTGCCTTGAAAATTTTTCTTTCTTTATCTTGTGGACAGGTACTCATTGTCTAAATTTAACTGTTATTATTTCCTTTATTTCCAATTCTTAAGATGACTGCCCTGTTTTAGTCCACTGATGTATTCTATCCCCAGTTATATATTCACACCAACGGAAACCTCCCCTCTCAGGTGCTGCTCAGATTCTTGATGCTGCATTCATTTTTCTAATTTCCTTGGTTAAGAGAGCTGTCAAGCTGTGCTTGCTCAGAGCAAAAACTATGTCTGTCTCCCCTCTTCTGGTGTTGAGCATATTGCCGTGGCCACCACAGGACTCCAACAAATACTTTTTGCAGGAATTATGTTGCTTTCCTTGCAAATTCTTCTTCTCCTGTCCTTGGCATTGCTTCTACAGTTACCGATATTCATCTGTAAAGACAAAAGGGAGATTTGCTTCCTACCTTCTCCCATAAGCTCAACCCATTCTTCGGCTCCATGCTGTCCTGGGTACTTAGGGTGATTCGCTGCTTGGTTTCTGGAGCAATTTTCTTTTACCAACAAAACAGACAAGAGGTGTCTTTAGTTGTTTTTTAAAATCTTGTTCTGTTTCTTCTCCTCCTCCTCCTTCTCCTTCCCCTCCCCTCCTCCTTCCCCTCCCCTCCTCCTTTCCTCCTCTTCCTCTTCCCCCTCCTCCCCTTCCTCCCCTCCTCCCCCTCCTCCTCCTTTTCTTTTCTTTTTTCTTTTCTTTTTTTCTCCTTCTCCTCCTCCTTCTTTTTCTTCTTCTTCTTCTTCTTCTTTCTTCTACTTCTTCTTCCACTTCCTCCTCCCTCTTCTCCTGCTCCCTTGTCTCCCTCTCCTGCTCCATCTCTTCCTCCTCCTCCTACTTCTTTTACGTCTAGATATGTAAGTTTCCAAAGCCATTTTAGAAGTGTGACTCAAGTAGATCTTACATAGCAAAGGTTTCTGTTCGGGGGTTGCAACAGACTGAATTGAATCCACCCGCCCCATTCAAAAGCCCTACCCCCTGCGGTGCTTCTATCTTGATCCAGGGATCTCACTAGCAGATTGAAGTTAAAGGGAATTATAGGGGTGGGCCATAAACTGGGAGGACTGATGAGTTTATAATAATAGAGATCCAGCCCCCATCTCCATCACATGAGGTCAAGGCCACAAGGAGCCAGGTGCAGCTGGAA